ATTTGTGTGTTTTTTAAATTATTATAAAATTAAAAATGAGCGACCACCTAGCAACTACCAACCTTTCAGACACTACCAATAGCAACACCCTGTGATCCACCCCTAGATTCATGGTGAAAACAAAAGCTTTCTTCAGAAAATGTTGAAATCTGGTTATAACTTGTGGAAAAATTCCCATTCTCTCTTCCCTCATTCTTTTTCTTGTAATTTTTCCTTCTGTTTTATTGTGCCCTCTCTTCTCCAGCAGCCCATGGTGAAAATTACATTGTATTGCATCCTCTCAGGCCTGTCCCCTCTCTCTCTCTCTCTCTCTCTCTCTCTCTCTCTCTCTCAGACGGAAGCGGGCCGCATCTGTCTGGAAGGCTGCCATTGTGATGACTACTACAGGATTCGTGAGCTGTTGTATCAGCAGTATGCTGTAGTTTAACGGATCTCAATCAGCTCCAGCCCCTCCTTTCATTTCCTTTCCTTTTGTAGGTTTTGAGTTGTGTATATTTTATTATTGTTTCCCCCCTCGTTTACATGGCAGACATTCTCACTGAAAATGACCCAAAGTGAGAGAGCGTCTGTCTGGACTGAAGAAGAATCGATGCTACAATCTTTTTGTTCTGAACTGCTGGATGCAAAGAAATGTTTAAGCCTTTTTTTTAATCCCTCAGATAAATTTTCATAATGAAGCGTCGTGTCTGTGTGGGTTTGTGCATTTACATTTATTCATTTCAGTGCTTTTATATAAAATACCGTGGGCTTGTTCAGAATAGCATACTACCATCTGCAGTGTTTAGTATGTATTCCGTGCATAGTATGCTCATTTTCTGTATGGCTATGCATGAAAATATGTACTAAATTTGGCGAAATGTACATTACGCATCTTTTTCTTGAGTTTATATCATGCAATTCTGAGTTTATTTCACACAGTTCTGAATTTATATCACTCAATTCTGAGTGTATATCACGCAATTCACACTTTTTCTCATAATTGTGGGGAAAAAGTCAGAATTGTGCATTATGCAACATGCTAGTATTTCATTCTGAACATATTCTTCGAGCTCTGCATTTTATACATGTGTGTTCCCTAGAAATCCAACCAGTGGCCTTTAACACTCAACCCTATGAGGATGCTGGGATAATAATAGTTCTTTCTAACACGCTACACAAACAAGACACCATAAATAATTTTTATTCTCGTATTAACTGCCCTGTTGTCCTGCGTGTAGTCTTTGAGCTCGTGACAAATCCACGTCATGCCCTCTTTCCTTGACCTGAATAACTGATCCAGGGTCAAAGCTTCCTGCGATATTCATAAATATTTCCTGCACGGCTGATCCTGAGTCAGCTGTTTGGACGCACGATCTGCCAGCACAGCAAACATTATGGCCCAGATACGTTTATTCTCATCTCTATACAAAACATTCAGCAATAATATGGGATTAGTCACTTCTTTTGTCAGTTTTCACTTTCTCTACTACTTCAAAATTGGTGGTTTTGTGTTTCTTAGTGTCTTCCACAAAGCACAGAATGTGAAGAGTGTCTCCTGAATCATAAGAAAAACAGCCCTAGATTGTATTTCCTCTTCCATCAAGCTCCAGCTCGTCACAGTTGACCGGGCATCTGTTGAACCTAGATTCATCTGTCAGACTCCCAGATGGTGGAGTGTGACCCATCAGGCCAGAGAAGATGCTTCCACTGACCCACGGTCCTCCCGGTCGAGCTGTACACCTTCCTGACTGACACTTGGCACTGTGCTCTCAATTCATGAAGGTATGAAAATGAAGCACTTTACAGGACGCTTCTTGTGCTGAAATTGAGCATAAAGGTCATTTGGAAATGTGTATGTTGAAAATAAGAATGTTGATTATGTGCGATGCACTTCAGTTTTTAACTGTGTGTACGTATAACCTACTGCTCTGTGCATTTTATTGACAGCAGCAGCACTTCAATCTCTTTAAAATTGCAAAAATTTGTAATTTTCACACTATAACCCAGCTAACAGGGAATGTTCTCAGAACATTCTGTCAAGGTTCTCTCAAAGTTATTATCAAATGTTCCTTCAGTAACATTCATAGAACGTTTGTCTGGTCTTAATAATGTTTGAAAATCATTAGCATAAAATGTTATCTACATTTCTTGGAACTTTTTTTTTTTTTTTTTGAAATACTATAGTTGGACATTCATTTTAAGTTTTTCTTAAGTACATTAATACATGTTTCAGAATGTTCTGATGACATTTAAAAGTAACTGTATAAAACGGATAGTTCCGGTCCTTGATTCTGATTGGTTGAGCCAAGTTCGAAGCTGTTGTAAATTACTCTACAAACATACACCTTTGTTTGCATTTGTGTGTTGCTCGGCAACCACTTTGTTAGAACCACAAACGTTTCTGAGGAACTACATTGTTTGGCGGAAGAATAATGTTTTTATTAATATCATTGCACTTTACTTGCTCTGTTTTATTTTGTGAAACCTTACTACATATATGAAATAACCGTTTTATAAAAGCAATAAACTCTGAATTTATAACAGCTAAGGGGGTTAGCTGTTATAAGCTGTGCACCCCTTAGCTGTTATAAATTCACTGTAAACCACGGCTTCTTGGGGCTTATTGCTTTATTTCCATAATGTTTGCAAAACATTAGCACAAAAACGTTATTTATACATTGTTTATTAAATGTTTTTTCTGAAAAGTTTTAGTTGGACATTCGTCAAACCTTTTTAAACTGTTCTTTAAATGTTATCAGGTGTTTACAATGTTCAGAAAACATTTAAAGTAACGTTCCCATAATGTTTGCAAAATGTTAGCACAAAAACGTTATCTGTACATCATTCATGGAAAGTTTTTTTTTTATGTTTTAGTTGAACATTCGTTATTACTTGCTACTTTTTTCAGAACGTTCAGAGAACATTCAACACTAACGTTCCCATAATGTTTGCAAAATGATAAACGTTTGCAAATCATTCGCACAAAATCATCATTTATACATCGTTCATGGAACGTTTTTCTGAAACCATTTAGTTGGACATAAATCAAACCTTTTTCATTTTTTTTTTTATGTTATCACTACTTGTTTCACAATGTTCAGAAAACATTTAAAAGTAATATTCCCATAATGTTTGCAAAACGTTAGAACAAAAATTTTATCAATACATCATTCATGGACAGTTTTTCCTGAAACGTTTTAGTTGGACATTTCTCAAACGTTTTTTAAACATTATTACTTGCTACTTGTTTCAGAACGTTCATATGACTGTTAAAAATAACATTCCCATTATGTTTGCAAAGCATTTACACAAAAATGTTATTTGTCCATTGTTTATGGAACACTTTTTTTCTGAAACGTTTTAGTTGGACATTCGTCAAATGTTCTAAACACTATTGCTTACTAGTTTTAGAACGTTGCCATAATGTTTGCAAAATGATGAAATGGAACGTTCCCTTAATGTTTTCTCTAACATTAGCATAACAGAGAAAAAAAGTTTTCAAAACGTTTAAAACACTGGACTTTTTGAACGTTCACAAATAACTCAATTGGAACTTTGTTAGCTGGGAAGAGATAGATGTTCAGGAGCGCAGTTGAGCGGACTGAGTGACGGTCTGCACCTTTTCCTCTGTTGCATAATAGTTTTATACTCTAGAGATGTTTAAATGTAAAGAGTTCATGTGAATGCCGTCCTCGTGTTTTATGTCCCCCAGAGTAAGTCAACTCCAGTAATCCTCTCTGTGAAAGAGTTGAAGAGATTTAGAAAAGGCGAGCACGATTCCTCGCTAAAGTGGAGCATGATTCCAGCTCCACCTCTCTGCTTTTCATTTTGATAAGTGACAGGGACCAGCAGAAATGTCCATCAGCTAATCCTCTTAGCGTTCATAATGCTGACTCTGCTTTAATGGACCTGACAGCTGAGCTGTAGACCAGACCGGCCAGAAATGGACCGTTGTGTTCCCGGAGCACAGAGTTCAGCCGCTCATCCTCAGCGGAGGCGAGATGGCGACATAAGCGCTGTACTAAAGCTAAAACCTACCTAGACAGCATTTTAAGACATCATCTCCCAGTACGACAGCTGTTTAGTAAGATATATTCCTCCCTTTAACCAAAATCTGAGACCGTCCTGCTGAAAATAACCATAGAAACCATCACAGAATAATGGGAATTGTATTGGTTTTAATGGAAACTGTAATGGTCCCTACTGGTAATTGGTCACCTTCTATTGGTGGCTTGTTAAAACCACCAAATCCTAATATATCCCAAAACACACTACAGGAAACCATTTTTAATGGTTTTAATGCTTGTAATGTTTGTAATGGTATTTGTAGTGGAATTTCTGTGATGGTTTCTATTGTTTTTTTTTATATCCTTCACTGTATTTAGAAAAAACATCCAAGATGGATGGCATTTTGATTATAAAATTGTTCCCAAAACGTGAAATTTTACCAGTATTTATGTGTGCTATACTGTATATTTATATGGTTATCAATGTGAGTATCATGTTATTAGCTTAGCCACATGCTAATCACAACACAGTGGGACTGACGTCTAATTGAATTTGAATTCAATTGAAAGTTTGTTTTATTGAATTTTGTTCAAATTTAACAGTTTAGAGAATGTGAACATAGAATAAATAAATAACAAAGGTAATTTTTTGGCAGTTACATGAATTTGAAAATAATTTTTTCTTGTATTGTTTTCATAAGTTTCTTGTTTTGTGTTCTCATATTCAAAAGGGTTTCCAAGTACAGCTTAAGATCTGTTTTACAGAAAATAATATTTTTTTTAGTGGACACTGAGTTCAAATGCCTTCTGTTTGCTGATGATCTGAGGGGGTCTACAACAGCATCTGTCTGATAATAGTTGCTAAGATACACTGTAAAAACAAAATCTGTGACATTTACGGTAAAATACCGGCATGACTTTTTCTTTTTCACTTTTTTTACTGTTAAAATCACAATCATTGTTTACAGTGTAGGATTGGATCAGTTGTTTGGTGCTTAGTTGGAATTGTTTGGCAATTTTCTTCACTTTGACTTGACAATATATGCAGAATGTTAAAACACCAGGTCAGTGTTATTTTGGTATCATATAGTACTCAATAGCATGAGATACTATAGTTAGATACTATAGTTTTTGTTAATATTTTGAATAATTACTTATTATTGATTATTTATTTAATATTTATTTATTCTTATATTGTAATTTGATATATTTATATTTATATATTGTAATTTTTTGTATTTTATTTTATTTATTTATTTTCAAGTAGCAGACTTTTTTTACGGTTTTAGTTTATAATGGCTCTGAAATGAATGTCATTTCACTGCACTCTCAGAAAAAAAGGTACAAAAGCCATCAGTGGGACGGTACCCTTTCAAAAAGTACTAATATGTACCATATATGTACTAATATGTACACTTTAGGTATTAATATACCTTTAAGGTATTAATATGCATCTTTTAGGGTTAAATAATGTACAAAAGTACATGCACCTTTTGAAGAGGTACCACCCTAGTGATAGCTTTTGTGCCTTTTTTTTCTGAGAGTGTTGATATCTACATCTGCCTTAGATTTACATAGTCAATCAGTGAGATTTACTGCAAAATGAATCATAAACTAATACTATGTTTGAGGAGCTTATTCACAGTGGTTTGCACGCAACGATCGTAATAAATGATCTGTCAGCGATAACCT